TTCTTGTTTGTTTAAAAATTACATGGCATGGTTACCAGGGCGCTCCGGGCCCTCCAGCCGTAGTACATTTTTCTGATGATTTTCGACTATTTGTTAGAAGCCGTGAAGGAAACATACAAGTAGCAGAYGAAAGTGTGAAACAGATGAGGTTCATAGCACAACAAATGCTTTAGTCGTAGGACTTATAGCTACAGAACTAGCCTCCACACTGCCGTCCAAACTAAGAAATTTAACATGACTATAAACCTTGGTAATCCTTGGCTTTCTTATACCTCTGTTTCCATATAGAAACCAGTTTGCCATTACATGAATAATATGCTTTTGCATATTCAGGCCACTTACATATCAGATCGAAATAAAACTGAAAAACAAAAGAAAAAAAGAAAAAGACAAGTTATATTACATCATTACATGGTTATGCTTGACGTGTTAAAGAAATAATTAGCTATCAACTTGTGTGAATTCCAGTGCATTTCCATCTGGATCTCGTGCAAAGATTGCAGGCCTCCCAGACCGGCTGAGAGTGTAAGGTACTCCTGCAAAATAAACAGCAGCATAAGGCATCTATGCTACATATAAATGCATCCAAACTAARGTGGCATTCGGTAGTGCGTAAGTATCATGGATGGGACCTTTTTGGTCCTGTCCACGGTAAGAAATGGTGTTCTGCTATGTGTGGACAGTCCCCGTCCACAAAATAGCATGGACAGGGACGAACCATACCCCAATTTATCGTCCATAGTATTTTTTCATGGATAGTCCACACAATGGGTTTCAGTGTAATGCACGTGTTACATTGGTCCAATTACTCTCATTTTATTTAATTTTTTAATTTTAATATTTTATTAATAAAATAATAATTTTTAATGTTAATTCTAACACAAGTCCGACAGTTCTCCTTCTCTACTCTTTTTCATTATTTAAATATTTTTAACAATAAAATAATATTTTTTAATTATTTAAAAAATGCAATTGTTGCCTACATATTAATTTATTGATGTCCCTTTTTTTCAATTTATTTACCGTATAAAATGCAAAAATTAGACATTTATGATTGACTGTGTAGATCTCCCATAAAATGTATATGAGATACATGGAATCAAAAAGTGTGCACTACACCTACAAAACGCCACCGTGGTGTGGACTGTGGTGTTGTGTGGGTTGGTCCCTACCACAAGGTGTGGTGTGGACCARTCCACACCCACCAATTTCTCATCCACACTACAGAACACCCCCTAAATTAATGTTGTCAACTGAGCTCTACAAAGCATGGCCTCAAGGATCATTCGTGTTGTTAGATTAGGAGTCTTTTTCACTACTCAACCTATGATATTTGGCTTTGCCTTAAATCTTTAAGACCCTCAGCTTGCATCAGAATACTCCTTGCTGGTGTGGTAGGTTATCTTTTCATGCACAAGTTAAAACCATCTTAGTTATTTGTCATCTACTGGGGCTACTACTAGATTCCTTGTGCATTGACCTCTAAATCTATCAATTTTTTGTCTTGTCACATATCCATCTAAACATTTTTGTCTCTACTAGACTCATTTTATGGGTGTATTACTTTTTAATTGCCCAACACTTCACTCTATAGAACATACTGGCATTTTAGCCACTTTATAAAATTTTCCTTCTAATCTAATTGTTATGTACCAAACATACAATTCAAAACTTTAATACATCCATATATGTTTCATCAGAAAAATACAGAATTGTAAATATTATATGAATATACAGCACATGTTAAGACAATAACACCTAAACTGCTTATCACATTCCAGGTCATTAGGTTACTGCTGCTTAGTTTCTTGCATCCTTCCATTTGTAAAGAAACTTAATTTTGACACCGTGGTCTTTAAAGGTCCAGCACACACTTATAACAAATTTTAAGTCAAAGTCTCTAACTTATATCCATTTTTCATAGACAAGATTGTAAATTGCTTTTCTCTTTCCACATTACCTCCATAGACATGCATCTGATTCTGCCATGTTGGAAAATGTTCTCTGATTGTCAGTGAATTCATTATTTCAGACACCTCAAGCAATCGTTTCATTCAAAGGGCAATTTGATTAATTTATTCCTTTTCAGTTCAAGACTCTGATGCTTCAAGTATCAAAATGAAACACAAAAAGATTGCAGAGGACAAATTGTGAAGGGCCACGTGATCAAAATGTGGATAGGAATAACTATATGTAGGATACTTCATTAGTTCATTTTGTTTTATTTTGGTGCATCTGGACGGAGTATGACTTCAAATCCTTATAGATCTTTATCATTTTTCTGGGAATCCATGGTTGAAGATTTTAGAGGTCAAATACCAGGTTTTCCCCTTTTGATAGGATGGGATGATTTAATCCACTCTAAATCCAAATACCACACATACAGTATGAGGGGGATTTTCCCAACATTTGTCAATAAAATTCAACTGTACCCATAAAAAATTAAAAAAAAAAAAAGAACAGTGAAGAATGAAGTAACAGTAAAATACCAGCTTCATCAAAAATGGCTTTCAGCTTTGACACATCTCGAATTGCAATACAAGCATGACGATCTCGGCCCCCATGCTCAGGACGGCCTGTTAAGGGATCAGGATTCGGAAGCTCCATCAAATGAATCATTTCAGAACCCACCCACAGCCAAGCACCTCTATAGGGTAGCTTATCATGTGGCCTTGCTTCATTTATCTTAAGACCTGGTTTTAGTATAAAAGTTATATTTTCTTTAATGGAAAAATGTCTATCATTCAGACAATGGCATAATAAATTGACATACCCAGAAGGTTTTGATAGAATTCAAGTGACTGTTCAAGATTTTCACACAGCAATCCTACATGGTGAATGCTAAGAACCCCAATACCTGCACAAATATTCAAATAAAACAGATAAGATTAGGTGTGCAAGAATGGAACATGATGCAACTTCTGCAGTAGCTCACTATCTAAGAGCTTAGGCTATTTTATTTATTTATTTATATTTGATAAAAGTAAGCTGTGAAGGATATAATGACATGATCTCTGAAAGCTAGGATGCATCCAGCAATGTCACGGTTTTCTTATGATGAGCCTGAAAAACTGCATGTAGATAAAAATGTTACGGCTTCTTATCCTAATGATATCTTCCAGGTAATAAGGAAACAAACATAATGACTCACCTTCTCCTATCATATATATGGACCAAAATTTGGATAATTTCCACATCTAAGAAACCACATATGCACCTAACCGTAAGGTCTCACAGCAGAGAACTTAGGCTCAAACTTCTGCAAACAAAAGTTTTTCCTTGACTTTAAACTTTCTGCAATGAGCTTCATAGGATTCCTACAATCCTTTTCCTCTAGGCCAAGATCCACTGACATACTAGACACTTGACAATGAAGGCATGAAATGTAAACTGGATTCCATTGGGACAAAAAAGAATATAGAATCTCAAGATCTCATGAAAAGGCTTGACTGTCCCTCTTGTCCCATCACTTTAAACAGAAGCTGAATTGATGGCTAAAATTCATGTCAAATTGTCAACATGAAACTTTCTTTTTGCGTTACTTGATTAAACTACATGGGAAATGAAACCTAGCTGATCCTTTTCCGTTGAAGATCTTAGATATACCAAGGGTGGCAAAAGACTAAAAATGTAGAAAATTGGGAAAATATAAAACCATAAGAAAGGAAGTTTAAAAGAAAGAAACTACTTTGATAAAAGATGGGAGAAAAAGGAATTTATAAACTAGCAAAGATGGGAKAAAGGAAAAGCAGACATCTAAACCATGTTAGGTTCATTAAAGAGGAAGATCAAAGAGTCTTGATAAAAGATGAAGAAATCAAGCAAAGAAGGAAAAACTACTTTGAAAAATTATTAAATGAACAACAGGTAGAGGACACTAATAGATTAGTGATAAGTAATATTAATAGTGTTAAAATTAACTTGAACCTTCATAAAATCAGAACTACTAAAGTAAAAGAAGCACTAAATAAGATGAAGAGAAAGGCTTTAGGACCCAATGCGATTCCAATAGAAGTGTGAAAAGGTATGACAGAAATAGKGTTATTATAGCTAGATAAGCTATTTAATAAGATAATAAAAGAAAAGAAAGTGTCTAATGATTGGAGAAAGAGTAGTTTGGTGTGTATATTTAAGAACAAAGGCAATATATATAGTTGTAATAACTATCAAGGGATTAAACTCACAAGCCACATTATGAAACTTTAGGAGATAATGGAGCAAAAATTACAACATGAAACAAGTATATCAAAGAACAAATTTGGGTTTATGTCAAGGAGATCAACCATGGAACTATCTTTCTTTTGCAACGATTGATAGAAAAATTCAAAGAGAAAAAGAAAGATMTACACATGGTGTTCAACRATCTAAATAATGCACACGATAAGAGTTCCTAGAGAGTTAATATGGTAGGTCAAGGGTCCAAAATAAGTATATAGACCTAACTAAGGATATGTATGAGGGTGCAACAACCAATGTTAGAACACCTATGGGAGAGACATCAGATTTTATAGCTGTAATGGGTCTTCAACAAGGTTCAGCACTTGGCCCTTATTTGCACTGATCATAGATGAATTAACTAAACATATTTAGAATGAGGTCCCGTGGTGCATGTTGTTTGCTAATGACTTATTTTAATTGATGAAACTAATGAAGGATTAAATGCAAAATTAAACTTATGGACAAATAGTAGTGCAACTGAGGCAGGCCCAACCCAAGGCAGGATCAACCCAACACGAAAATTTAGACGGGATGGGCTTGGATTTTCAATCCTTAGGTTGGACCTGGGCCAAGAAAATTGAGCTTTCAATATTTTCGAGTTGGGCTTGGGCCTAGCCCTTTGAAAACCCAAGCCCGGACCAGTTATATTAGGTAACTAGATGTTTTAGGTAATTACTTATTAGGTGTTTTAATTTAATTTTCTATTGATTTACTATTAGTTCTATTGTAATCTAAGGGTTCATTTTAACTTTACACTGTTTGGGCTTGGATTTTCAATCCTAAGGTTGGACCTAAGCCAAGAAAGTCAAGCTTTCAGTATTTTCGGGTTGGGCTTGGGCCTAAACCTTTGAAAACCCAAGCCTGAACYGGTTATATTAGGTAATTACTTATTAGGTGTTTTAATTTAATTGTTATTGATTTACTATTAATTCTATTCTAACCTGAGGGTTCATTTTAACTTTCAAATCCAACCCTAAGTTGTAAAATATCATGTAAAAGTAAAACCTAAAAGATTGTTAACTTCGAACACCAAACTCAGTCTCGAACGCTCTGTTATCTATTCGACTTATACCCATATTCTTCATTTMTTCTGTAAATCTTCTTTCATTTTCTTTGAAAGGTGACAATAGTCCACCTTCTACAGGTCATCACAGCCATCATCCCATCAACCGCTTCTTTGTTGCCCTCACACCTTGAGTTGATTTTGATTGCTACTTGGACCTACAAGTAGCCAAGATCAATCTTCCTCATTTGTTGGCTACAAGTGAGCTCTAACATATCAAAGTTAAAGTCTCAAGTTGTAAAAATCAATGTTCAATGGTAGGTATTCCCTATCTCTCTTTCACAATTTTCATTTTAAAGTCGGTTATGTATTTAAATATGTTGTTATGGAGACCTCAAACCTGTCATTATTTTCAATCTTTTCATATCAAACGTCTTGATTGTTTAACCAATAAAAGGATACCAAAAGGGAAGAAATATTGTTGAAGCTTCTAATCCATGGCTTTGCTTATCTTATGGATGCCATGCACTTTTAGTTGCCATGTCACCTGTTCATCAAGATCTAAAAGACAAATTCTTCCTATAGGATTTAATGCAGCTTAGTTAACCTCTTGTAAACAAGCTTCAAGCTTATCCATTAGCAGCTCTAACTCTAATGTTTTATCCCCAAATGTTTTCATTTTGTCAATTAGTTGGCCATTCTTCACCCATTCCTACAATTACAATAGGCTTCAATTTGTTGATAAGAGTAAAAGTATTGGTATTATCCTGCATCCGGATCTTTTTCTAGAATAAATTAAGGAAAGTTCTTATTTTCTTAGGGTTTTAGCTTTTTAGGTTTATATTTGCTCATATTATCTCGGATCCATTATAGGCCCACCCCAACCTAGCCCTAACCCGAGCCTAGCCTGAGTATGCTAAATTTAAGCTCAAGCTGGGCTTGGGTTTWGTATTTTGGGTTTAGTATGGACAAATGCCTTAGGAAAAAGAGGTTTAAAAATAAGTAGGCCTAAAACATTATACATATATATATATATATATATATATATATATGTGACCTTTTTTAGTACCTTGGTTCAACAATTCATAACAAGGGAGTAGTTAGGGAGGATGTTGCCCATAGAATTA